GGGGGAGATGCAGTGTGAGCGTGCGAGGGGAGATACAGTGTGAGCGTGCGGGGGGAGATGCAGTGTGAGCGTGCAGGGGGAGATGCAGTGTGAGCGTGCAGGGGAGATGCAGTGTGAGCATGCAGGGGGAGATGCAGTGTGATCGTGCAGGGGGAGATGCAGTGTGAGTGTGCAGGGGGAGATGCAGTGTGAGCGTGCGAGGGGAGATGCAGTGTGAGCGTGCAGGGGGAGATGCAGTGTGAGCGTGTGAGGGGAGATGCAGTGTGAGCGTGCAGGGGGAGATGCAGTGTGAGCGTGCAGGGGGAGATGCAGTGTGAGCGTGCGAGGGGAGATGCAGTGTGAGCATGCGGGGGTAGATGCAGTGTGAGTGTGCGAGGGAGGCCGTGCGCAGCACTGGTGTCCTCAGGACACACGGGATGGGCACAGCTGCCCTGGGCCTGCTGCAGGCTCCACACCCCCACCTGGAGCCGCAGTTGTCCCCCTTGGGTCTGGGGAGCTTTTCTGAGAAGGGACCATCTGCAAACTCTGAAGGCAGCCGGGGAACGTGGGGCGGTACGGGGCGTGGTGTGTGCCCGTCAAACCCTATCTGCGGCTGGGGCAGCTGCTGAGGGAGTCCTGTGTCATGGACCTCAATTCTGATGTGTCCAGCTTCCTCTCTGTGGTATGTCTCCAGGCCAAACTGAGCCTTGCCTGGCCGCCGGGAGGGTTGAGCCCCACCATCTCTTGCTCCCTGTGAGGAAGAAGTCCCCTCTGTGCGACTGACGGCCGGGGGACCTGGGGATCCAGGGCGAGCCCCAGGGCTGGGTGGTCTTGCCAGTGGCCTGCACCTGGTGTGTCTACATCGTGTTGTCCAGAGCCCAGTCACATGATCATACCTGATTGCCAACAGGAACTAAACACAGGAGTCTCGTGTGACTGGCCGGCCCCCGTGGACTCCAGCAGGAGTCTCATGTGACTGGCCGGCCCCCGTGGACTCCAGCAGGAGTCTCGTGTGACTGGCCGGCCCCCGTGGACTCCAGCAGGAGTCTCGTGTGACTGGCCGGCCCCCAGCGCCCCACAGACCAGCTCTGCAGCAGCTCAAGTTCATGGCCGACACTCCCGCTGTGTCCATCCAGGAGAAGCAGCCAAGCAGAGCTGGAGTCTTGGTGGAAATAGATCTGTTGCAAATGAAAAGTAAGGTCTCCATTGTGGCTGCAATAAAAGGTTTATCTCTTCCAAAGAGACTCCCTCCACAAGTGATTATATAAGATCTCAGCACAAAGGTGTGTGTGCCCGCACACACTCACCATGCACACACACCATGCACACACACCAGCCTACCTCATACACACACACGCCAGGCACACACACCAGACTACCTCACACACACACACACGCCATGCACACACACCAGCCTACCTCACACACACACACGCCATACACACACACCAGCCTACCTCACACATACACACGCCATGCACACACACCAGCCTACCACATACACACACACACCATGCACACACACCAGCCTACCTCATACACACACACCATGCACACACACCAGCCTATCTCATACACACACACAGCCTATCTCATACACACACACACCATGCACACACACCAGCCTACCTCTCACACACACATGCCATACACACACACCAGCCTACCTCACACACACACGCCATGCACACACACCATCCTACCTCACACACACATGCCATGCACACACACCAACCTACCTCACACACACACACACACACACACCATGTACCCACACCAGCCTATCTCACACACACACACCATGCACACACACCAGCCTACCTCACACACACACACACCATGCACACACACCAGCCTA